CAGGCGCCCCCCGCGCCCGGGCGTGCGCCCCCGGCTCGGAGGGGCAGGGGCCCTTTGGGCCCCGCAGACGCCTGCGCGGCGCCCAGGGCGCGGCCCGCGAGGGGCCCGACTGCGGGCGGGGACGCCCTCCGGACGCCTCAGCCCGTGCAGAGGGGCCCGGCGCGGGGGAGACCAGCGCCGGGCCCGCTGCGGCGCCCGGTCCCGGCTGCCCGCGCCCGAGAGCTGCGCCGCTTACCCACGCTCCAGCCTCCTGGGAGCTAACGCCACTTAAACCGCAACAAAAAGCAGACAAGGAGCCTGCTCCCTCCACCCCTCTCACAGACGCTTTCAGGGATGCAGTCAGCATCCTCAGGACACAGCCCCCTGATCGATCACCTGCATCAGGGTAACCGAGGACACCTACTAAAACGTAGAGTCGCTCTCCAGATTTAAGGAACCAAAACCCAGAGCGTGAAACCCCAGAATCTACGTTCTTACAAATCTCATAGACTCTGATATACTCAGAGAATCGCTGTGGCAGATCCTGGGTTCAAACGAAATGGGGCTGAGTCAGAACGGAGCTGATGGGCCTGAAAGGGAACTACTCATTATTCCGGACAGAAGTGCTTCTGAGCCGGGAACACCTGCCTGTGCGCGTCGGTGTCTACGAACGGAGCGCCTTTCAGTAGCACAACCAGGCTGTTCTGGGCCAGCTCTACCATCTGGTGGCTGAAACAAGGAGCAGTCTGTTTAAACGTCTTTTCCTAAAACTTTCTCCCGGTATGAGGGGAGGGTCTCGGATTGCACATATTCAAAAAAGCTGAAAAATTCTGATGCACATCCTGGGATAAGGACCACTCCCTAGGCAACGTTTTGTTTGTTTTTGTTTGACATCTTCTTGGGGTCAATCATGGGATAAAGAATCTGACAAAAGCTACTGATTCTTGTCTTGAAAAGCACACACACACGCAGACTTGAGCCTACTCTTTCCAGGGCCACTGTCTTTCTGAATTTAGGCTAAAGGCTACAGGAACACCTTCACGACACTGACGACGACGACAAAAACTTCACCTGCGAAACGCCAGTAACACACTCGTATCACAGACAAGACAACAAGCATCGCTCTTCCAGGTAAAAGCAGACATAGGTCTTTAAAGTCACTCAATGTGCCTGGAGGGACTTCTGAGATGCACCAAGGAGACAGAGGCACAGGACTGTCTGGATCGTGAGTAAAGGGGTTCTTCCCTGGGGCGTCTTGGAAGGGGCGCATCGGGACCGCCTGACAGCGAGGGTCACAGCCATCGAGTCCCACCCAGGCACTAGGGACTTGCTGTCAGTTTTTAGGTTCTTCAGTCTTAAAGTCTGAGCAGAGTCCAATATTACCAGAAATGTAAGGAAAGCAACTGAGAGAACCTAGAAGAAAGGTAACGAGGAGTTAACAGACTATCCAGGAAAAAGAAAATATTAAAAAAGTCATTTACTGCTTCTGAAAACGCTGCACCCATGTAAGAAACCCCCCACCATGTTCCAAGAAGGGTCTTAGACATACATTTCTCTGGCCTGAAAGACAGGAGCCTTGAGATCGAAGAGGCCTGTCAAGCATCCAGGAGAACAGATAAAAGTGGACCTGAACCACGGTACAGCCCAGTGGAATTTCAGGACCTCAGGAGCCAAGGAAAAACGAAGTACTCAGCCCCAAACCAAACACGTTTTACATAAAAGATCAAGAATCAGAATGGCGGCAGGCTTCATAGTGTAAAGACAGTAGAGCAGCCGCCACAATTCTGAGAAGAACACTTCTGACCTGTGTTGTTGTTTTTTTTTTTTGCACGGGGGAAGTAATTTATTTATTTGATGGAGGTGCTGGGGATTGAACCCAGGACTCCGTGCATGCTAAGCACATGCTCCACCACTTGAGCTATCCTCTCCCCTCTAATCTGTATTTTTAAAAAATCGTACTTCTCTTAAAAATTTTTTATACCCATTCAAACAATCAATTAAATATGAGACCAAAATAGGAGTTAAAAGCTTCAAGGACTTAATAAAAAAATATATTTTGCTTCAATCACAAGAACTGGAATCAGATAAATCCTTTTTACAGTTTATCTCCTATGAATCCTTTCCCCCTAGAAAGGCAGGTGAAATGCTCCGCCAAGAGGAAGCACATTCAGGAAGACGTCCTTCGGCTTCGCTCCAGGACAAAGGAAAAGTGAGGCCACGGGATTCCCACGGAGACGAAAAAGCTCCCAAGATGCCATCTGTGCAGGAGGCCTGCAGGCAGCCGGACCTCCCTGAAGCCGACTGGAACAGGTCAGAGGAAAGACTTCTTCAAGAAGGTGAAGAGAGTCACCCAGAAGAGAACACACCAAGAAAATGAAAAAGCTGAGACAATCATCTGAGTAAACGTGTGCAGGTAAGCGAATCACAAGCAGACACTGTTCCCATACAACTGAGCGTTACCTAGCAATAAGAAGGAACACGAAATGGAATACACGTATGTACACGTATGGCTGAAACACTGTGCTGCACACCAGAAACTGACACAGATGGGACTGACGTACTGACACACGGATGAACCTCAAAGACGTTAAGCTGAGTCAGAGAAGCCGAATACAAAACCCAACATGCTGTGCGATTCCAC